AGCCAAGTTGTCGGCGATCAGGCCTTCATGACGGAGACATGGGAACATTTCTACCAATCCCTCAACATTACACCAATATCGCTGGGACCAAATAGACCATGCCCGAATCGAGCTGAATCAGCACTTCGGTTATTGAAGGCTCAGCTGAAGATCATGCTCAATTTGATTAGGTCGGGCAATGCACCGGCGACGTTGAAGAAAGTGACATACCGACAACTTGTGAAGGCAGCAGCAACTGTCAGAAATCAAACTGTCACCTACGGGGGTGGAGCCCGCATTTGGACTTGATGTCGCAACACCAACTGACGATCGACAGGAATGAAGAAGAGCTTACAGCAATCCAGACCAAGCACCTATCCAAGCAGGCATTCCAAGAGGCTCGTCAATCCGAGGACATCAGAAGAGACCTTGCTCAGAACTTCAGGATGAGCTCCAAACCTCTTCAGGTGAAGGACAAAGTATTTTACTGGCAGGAAGACAAATCCAAGATTCGTTCCGACGGAAGCAGTTCCTTAGAAGGAGCAATGCTTGAACTTGATCTCGGAACAAGACTCATCAAGGTCAACATGACGAAGGTCAGAAAGGATGGTTCATCCCTCCGGAATGGAATTGATCTCTTATTGCCTGATGAGAAAGAATCCTTGCAGAAAGAACAAGGAGGCTCTTCAACCGATTCCAAGAAGAAGGGATCATCCATTCCAACTCGGAAGCCAGCATCCTCACGACCATTACGCATTGCTGGAAAATCAAGTCCCCAGCCTGCAGCATCAAGACCTGCAGAGAACATGTTCGTGGAAGATAGCATTGCTGAACAAGCGCATTGGAATTGTGTACGTAAGGGGAAGATCCACGTTCTCGAGATCTTTGTAGGGAGTGCCAGATTCAGTCAACGCTGCGCACTCACCGGTTTGAAGGTTGGGGCACCAGTTGACATCCGCAACGGATTTGGCGTAATGACATCCAAGGGACGACGCATGGTCATGGAGATCATCAAGGAGCAAGCGCCTGATCTCATCCTCAGGGCACCAGTCTCAGTCTGTGGACCATGGTCAAACAAGGTCTGGGAAAAGCGACAGCGCTACATCGGGCTTTTTTGTTCTTGGTTGGGTTGGGCTCCAAAAATGCTTTCCAAATGCCTTTCCATCGCAAGTACCGAAAACAGAGACGCAGCGCTCGACTAGCCAGTGACCGACTATCGCATCATTGGCACTTTGCCTGGCCGGCACCACCATCGAGTACTCCCCCATCGCAAGCTTCTCAGAACTCGCCGGAGGTCCAATTGGCCCGCCAGGTTACCCATGCAGCAGCACACAGCCGGCGCATCACGCTCGAGGAATGGCATCCTTACACACCGCATGCTCCCCCTTCTCACCATCGCCAAGCACTCCTCCTCCCCATCAACGTGCTCCTCTAATTTCCACCGCAACCACCAAACCTACCGGCTTGCAACCCAACGCAGGTTCCAGCTCCCCCCCATTGCCCAACCAGCCCGCCCCCTCCCAGCAGTGGCCAGAAAGCCTACAGCGACCTCGTCCCGAGCACGTTCCAGTCCAACGACATGTATGTGGACCAGAGAGAGGTCCGGCCTGCAGCTGTACCGCTACATTCAACCCACCCTGTGGTCGCGCAGGGTCGGTATCTGCCGGGCCGCTATTTTAGAACTTCCTCTTGCACGCATTTTCAGACAAGGAGCAGAAGATTACTCGCTTCGATCGCTGTCCAATGGGTGCTACAACACACCGGTTATGGCTCGCTGCATCGCTGAAGCGGTTCTCCTCACATCAGTTCTCCTCACATCAGTTCTCAAATCCCTTCGCGACATCGACCACACACCGCATATTCCCTCCATGGTGGCTCCCCACCGGACAAGAGCCATGCAGTTCATGCAACCGCTCGCCACCAAGATCGTGGACCTCATGGAGTCCCTACTCAGCGTGAGCTGGACAGATGGCGCAGCAAGGGCATTACCCTTACTCCGGAGAAGCAGATCCACAATCCATCCCCGTCACCTACCAGGACAAGCTGCGACATCCACGAACTCTATACCGCCCTTGCCACTCCCGGACCCATCCCCTGAAGGTGAACCTGAAGCGCAAGGCAAGCAAACGCAAGAACCCGGAGCCGGTCCAGCAGCTACCCGTTGACCCTGATCTCCTCCGGCATGGGAACCCCAAAGACCAGCAGGTCACGCTCCCCACCAGCCTCACAGACAAGGTGTTCAAGGCTGGCTTCAAGAACGCGCCCTGTCTAACCAGCCGCTCGACCAGCTCAAGGCGATTGCAGTCAAATGGGGAGCGCCCATACCACTGGTAGCCAAAGCATCGCGACAAGCACTGCTTCAGTTCATCATAGTGCTCTACATGTACGGCAAGCGAGTAGTCAGCCCTGATGATACGGAAAAGCGCAGAAACAGCTCTGATGTTGCATTGCTTTCCTTCGCCTGGTTTTTGCTTTAGGTAATTGCCCCTTTTGGTCCTTTTGGGTCGGGTTCCCTTTCCCTTTCTTCTGTTGGGCCATGTTGCCCGGTCGACCAAGTAGGTTTTTACACAGTGCAGCGGCTTTCTATTCGCCACGAGCCTTGCAGCCATACGGTGCCAAAGTCATTCTCGAGCCCATGCCGGTTATCACCAACCCAGATGCACAGTTCCTGCACCAGTACTTCCTCCAGCTCGAGCCAGATGTGGTCTACGCGGCATCACGTCACTACGGTCTCCCAGATCCGGTTTGGCCTGTAACACTTCATCACGGCACAGATCGCTACGTTTCCTCTGGCGTATGTCTCCAGACAGCTCAGCAAAGATCTCACTACAAAAGCATCGGACCACTACTTCCAGATACTGTTCATCATCATAGTCCTGTGCAGGCAGGTTATGGACATGCCCCTGGTCAATAAGCAACTATCAATGTGGTTGGAGTTGTTAGCCACACTACTTGTCATCGCACACTTCGGCAACTCCACAATCCCCCTCGTCGAGCTCAGGAGACGTCGCCGTCGGTTTCAAGTCTCCCCCAACAACTACACGTTCTCCAGGCTCCTGGAAACAACGCCTGGTCTTGCAGCAGTCCCGTCCGCGGTCGGTGAACCTGCGCTCGGACGTCTACATGGGCAGCACCAGCATTAGCTACCCTAGTCGAGAACACAACCGACGAGCCAAACTCCTCAGCGTCCGACAAGGCAGGTTCGTCAATGCGGAACGGCGCTGCGGTGGTGGCACCACTTCGGCACTTACCACTGCTACGCGGGTAATATTCACATCAGACGACCGTGACACAACATGGATCCAGGAACACACCCTCATCAGTTTGTACCAGCCCTCGCTCAACTGGCCGTACATATACCGCAAGTACAAGCGAGTCTCCACGGGCTATACCGCCACCAAGTTTATGCAGGAACAACCGTGGTCCAAATTTGGCAAGCGCCTGTTTCTTTGACTTCGCAGACGCAGCTGCACGGTCTATGGGCGCAACTATCACAATGTCGCACTGCGTCACCGTCAAGCCTCTCTCGCCTTGCATCAGAGCACATCGAAGTCAAAGATGCCGGAGTTGGTCCGTGAGCTTGTGTCTGTGCCCACAGGTCTGTGACCAGAGCCAGGAGTCAGCGTTGTCTGAAGCAGCTGGCAATTTTCTCCAGCCAGTCCAGCCAATGCGCGCTGCCCCCACGCATGTACCTGCGCACCCAGTGGTCGGCCGTCTGCGTTGAGTGATCTTTCTTGCCAGGTGCTCTTCCCGGTGCCGGCCCGTGCAGGGGGTTGCCGGTCAGCAGTGCTCCACGGGCGTCTCTCCCTTCCACCGCCAACGGACGCCGGCCGCTCCGTTTGTATCCGCTGCTGCTCCCGGTGTTCATCCTGCTGGGTTAGACGGAGACTGCCCCCTGTTTGCACACCTTCCGCCAACAAAGGTGTGAGTTTTTGGGGTCTGGGTTGTCTGCACTGGTGGCCATGGCGTGCAAGGCGGGCCGGTGTCTGGTTTCCACCGGCAAAAGGCTATGCGAGGGGTGCGCGCAATGCATAGCAGAGTTGAAATCACAAGGTCCCGAAAATCAGAAGTACCGCACGAAAACAGCCTCGCCAAATATCAGCGATCCAAAGAAAATGAAGCACCCAGCGAGTGTAAACTCTCAATCAATAAAGCATTAAAGTGCTCCTTTGACTTTTCTGAGACAAGGTCATATCCGTATTCCGTTCGCTTTCGTGAAATTCCAGATTAGCTGCTCAGGAAAAGCCCTCGAATACACACCCTGCCAAAACGAACACTTGGCGAATGACCATGCCGAGAAAATGGCGCGCATCTTGAGTCCAAGCAGGCAGATGACCCTCCCATAACAGGAAGTCACGGAGGCAATAGTAGGGGCAACGTATGAGCAGCAGTTGCCTTCTCCCAATGCCAAAGAAAACGGCCGAGCAGTTGCTTGTGCCCAAAAACCTCTCATCTGGATGACGTTTTGCTCACGCAAGCGGTGCGAGCGGCGCCGTAAATCAGCCGCCGTGTTGGCAGGGCCTTCCCAACACGAAGTGTTTACGGTGGTTCAACACGGCAAGACTTAAGCTTCGCACTGAATTGAATTAGAATATCAGAGAGCGCACTTTTATTTATTTTTCCGTTCCAGACTAGGACTTCTTTTTTCTTCTTCTTTTTAGCAAGTAAAAACGGCGCTTTTTGCTGTAGCTTTTTGCCGTAGCTGGCTTTGTACTTGTTTGAAATTGCAAGCTGATTCTGTCACACCGCTTTTCTTGTGCTTAGCTGTGTAATTTGTAAACAGAGTAATTATTTGCTTTGCTTGCCATTTTGGTGAGCGGTTTGATTGTTTTAATCACTTTTAGGATCTTTAGAATCTTCTCTAAACAATAACGTCTTCTAGTTTTGTTAAGGCATCAACCTTAACCGTGATTGTTGCACAGTAACTTGGATTTCTCGCTTAAGTGATTTGTCCACGCCTTTAAGCAAGCCTTTCGCCTTGAGCAGCTGGCTCTTTTTGTTGGGCTCGTGCTTTTCGTCAGGTCCCGCAGCTTCCAGTTGGAGCGCTGGCCTCGAAGCTCGAAGCTCGTCCCCGCCTTCGCCGCGTGCGGCAGCGGGATTTCGTCGGGCTCCTCGGTCGCGAGTTCGTCTTCGCCTCTGCCATTGCCTTATGTTGCCTGTTTTGTTCTCCTTTTGGAAGTTCTTTTGTTTTGGTTTTGTGAATCTAACTTAACTTATCTTCCTTTTTGTATCTTGATGCTAAAGCTGCGGACCTACATAATCGCGAATGGCCGCGAAAAGAACAAACGCTGAGCTTCCAAGTTTTCGGTTTCTAATCCGTCGTTTCAAATCCTAAGTTTCCAAATCCGGCTTTCAAGTTTTCAAATCCGTTTTTTCCAGCTTCAGTCTTTTCAGCTTTGGAAGTTTCTAAATCCTACCCTAAACCTTCCATTCGATGTTCGTCCTCATGGTGTTTCAATCCTAGTTTCCGAATCCGTCGTTTTCCACACCAGCCGCCGGCCGGTCCCGAGCAAAGAATGACGCTTGCATCCACAAAGGACGGACAGCGCAGCTTGGGTCATTTATTTTGATTCAGAGTTGGCAGTAAGACGCGACCCAATCTAGCAGGGGTTTATGAATTGGGGCAATTTGACATTCGGCGGCAAGGCCAGTTTAGCCTGGGACTTCCCCTGGATGCAACGCTTTGGGCCATGCGGTCCCGCTTGTAGGCGAGCTGGGAATTGGGATGGAGCAAGTGCTGGTGACAGCAGCCATTTTCACAGACATTGTCCAAATGCTGCATGTGTCATGTCAGCAGATATGCTGGGTTTTGGTATGTGTCACTTGTGAGGTTCTTTCAATTCTGTAAGGTGGGGCGTGTGCCAAAAGATGCGGGCAGAAGTTTGGTCTTCAAATTCGTTCAGTGACTCGATCAAAGGGCCTGCCCAGGGTAAGAGCGACTCGTAGCATGTCCCACAAAAAATGCCATTTCGCATATGTCCGCGCCCAGCCGTTTCCATGCACCGAACCGCCTAAAAAACACATTGTTTGTCCGGCCATTGATGGGGCCTTTGATGGGGCCGTTGATGGGGCCTTTGACGCCCATAGTCGCCCTGACCATCAGCACATCCCTGGCTTCGAGATTGGACGATGAGACCGACGTCGCCCTGTTGCAACTGAGCGTATCGATGGGTGAAAGCCGTGAGATGCGAGCCTTCGTAGAGTCCGTCGGCGCCGGCCATATGCCTTCCATTGATTTCAGGGCAGGACTGGTTGCTGCGAGCATGAGTTTCTCAGCAATAGTTATATTTTTCCTCGCGTCGCTTGCTTATCAAGCAGCCCGTTTTCTCTTTTTCCCTGGAGCCTGTCAGATGATGTATAATATTTAGACTTCAAAGCAGGCATTGGGCAAGAAAGGTTTTGGTTATCGCGCGCAAGAATTCAGAGGAGCGGGTCAACATCGGCCGGCTCTGCCTCGCCAGTCTCGACAGCTTCCGAATGCCAAGTCCTCCCTGACTTTGTCGAAGCTTGGGTTTCATTTATGGCGAGGTCGCGGCTCACACCCTTGCATAGTTGTAGTTCACACCAGGCTCTTACGCCGGGACAGGGGCCCATTGTGTTGCGCAGTACGCTTGCAAGGATCTTTGGGCAGCAGAGACGCCAGAAAAGATGGCCTTCATTTTCTGCGATGGCAAGGGGCAAGAGGCCGGCAGGGAGTCAAAGTCGAAGCCTCGTGCCATTACGTCTGCTGCAAGAGCTGGTTGTCAGGCTAAAATCTGTCCACAAACCCTCTCGATATGGCTTGCTATGGCATCGGGGCAACCTAGGCGTGTGTGCTTGCCTGCATGCGTGCGTGCGTGCGTGCGTGGGTGGGTGGGTGGGTGGGTGGGTGTGTGTGTGTGGGTGGGTGCGTGCGTGCGTGGGTGGGTGGGTGGGTGGGTGTGTGTGTGTGTGGGTGGGTGGGCGGGTGGGTGGGTGGGTGGATGGGTGAGTGGGTGTGTGTGTTTGTGTGTGTGTGTGTGTGTTTGTTGCGTTCAGTGACTTGAGTGCCCACCGAGCAGTTTGGCCATCCGGGCCATAGCCCCTTCCGGGTAGGTGGACAGCCGCAGTTATCGCATGCTGAAGCAGAAGAGCCGGGGTGTTGCAGAAGCGATCCAGGAGATGACAGTTGAAATTGTGGTTTCATTTGTGGAAGGTGTTTAGCCTCAGCATGTTTGATGCTTCCAGCCTTGCTGGTGAAGTGTGTTCTCTTGTGGACACCACGGAAGCTCACATGTTGGAGTTGAATGTCAATGAAGTTGATTTTGGGAGCTAAGAGGCATAGCAGGTTTGAGTTCCTTGCACTGTGACACAGGACTGGGGGGCAGCCACCGGTGACCGCGTTTTGCTGGTTTATGAGTCAGGGCTGGACTTTGTTGATGCATTCCTTGGATGTTTGGAGACAGGCAGGGCGCTCTGCCGCAGGTGTTGCCGGGCTCATTTGTGTGCCCAGCACGGTTTGCGGAATTTTCTCAGTTGAAACCAACAAATCACACAGACCTGGGTGCAAGGGTAGGCTGAGTGTCTTGGCCTCGTACCTGCTTCACTTGCCGCGCAGAGAGCTCCAATTGCAGGCGTTGTGGCGGTTCCGGTCTATCCACCAGTGCCTGGCCAAGTTGGCGAAGTCGAGCGTTTCGCCAACATTCAAAGGGACTGCGGAGCCAAGCTTGCCCTCACCAGCTCGATGCGCCTTGGCAAAAAGTGTTGTCGCACCTTGGGGGACCAAGAGTCAAAGCATGTTCAAAAGCTGCGCGGCCAGGTATTACTGGTCCAGCTCTACCATGATTCGGGAGGCTTGGCCTGACGTCACATGGAAGGTGACCAGCAATCTGCGTAGCTTGGACTGCACCTCTCGAAGGCAGTTGGAGCCTCGGCCGGGGATAGAGAGCAAGAGTGATCATGCAGCGCTTGGGAGACATGTTGATCCTGTTCTCAGGATCCGTCGAGCCTGGCATTTCTTCAGTATACATCGGGTTCGACTGGGCACCCCAAAGGCGTCATGATCACACACGCGAACTTGGTTGCGAACTGCCGGCTTCCCAACGACCACGTTCCGGAGGCTTCTCCTGACTTCCCCCGCTTCAGCTCTGAGTCCGTGCACGTGCTGTGGCTGCCTCAGTACCACGATTTGGGCCTCGTTGGTGGCATTTTGACCTCTATCGTGTGGAACTCCTTGGATGTCAGATTCTCCCCCGTGGACTTCATCAGGGATCCACTGCTGTGGCCGCATCTGATGAGCCGCTACCGTTGCACGGTGACGGCTGGCCCGCATTTTGCCTACGAGCTCGTGGCGAGACGATTGGAAGCGGCAAAGGAGCCGCCAAAGATTGATCTTTCAAGCTTGGCTGCTGCTTTTGATTGCGCTGAGCCCGTGAACGTGGGCACAAGAGATGCGATGCTCCAAACCTGGAAGAGCTTCGGTTTACGTGATGCAGCCTGGAATGCAGCGTATGGTCTGGCAGAGCATGTTGTGAAAGTATCTCGTGGTGGTAGCGAGGGCCCGGATGGCAGGGGCATTGTCAACGGCGTCCAAGACTGCGGTGTGCCGGCGGAAGACATTTGTGTCAAGATTGTGAATCCGGAGACTCGCAAAGAGAGTTTTGAAGGTGAAGAAGGCGAAGTTTGGCTGGACTCGCCATCAAAGGCCATCATTCCCAGCTAAATGCTTGTGACCGGATGTGCGGTTGTACACAAGCTCAGGTGATAATCCCCAACAGCATGCGTCCCCAGAGCTCGGAACCGCCCCGCATACTCAGCACCCTTGGAACCGCCCCATGCATCCCTCCTCGGAATCGCCCCATGCATCCCCGGAACCCTCCTCAAAACCACTGAGCAACGAGTCCAAAGCTTGCAGCTTTATTGCGAAAACTACCTGCGACATGTTGCAATATGTCCCTTAGTTGTTTGTCAGTTTGCTGTGCCTGGAACCCTGAAGGCTGCTGGATACTGGGGCAAGGCAAAGCTCTCAGAGGAAGTCTTCCGTGCCAAGATTCCGGGGTGCGAGAGAAGTTTTCTTCGCACAGGCGACCTAGGGTTTATGAGGAAGGGGAGACTTTTCATTTCTTGCCGGATCAAGAACTTGATCATCGTGGCTGGCAAGAGCCTTGGCTGCCATTCCATATATGTTTGTTTAACCTTGTGAATGCCTGGCAGCAGTTGCACGTTGCCCCCGGCCAAAGTGTCCGCCTGCCCCGCCCACGCGAGGAACTTCTTTCCGCAGGACATCGAGCAAACAGCGCAAGAGGCAGGGCGGCCCCACGTGCGACCAGGGCAGGTGGTGGCGACCAGCAATGCCAAAGTGACTAAGGAGAAGTGGTATGGAACCTGTGGTGGTACCTGCCGAATTGAAATCAGCACTCATGGCACTCCCCATACTTTTTTTGAGTTTTCATCCTGAAAAGTGGTTGGTGGACAGAAATCCCCACCGAATTCTGTTGTCCACCAAAGGGTCCCTAATTAAGATTCATACCCAATTGGGTATGAGTCAAGATCAAATTACCAGGGGCTACGCAGGTTTTGGTCCATGTTCTTCACTTACCAGTCTTGTTTTTGGGGGGTTTTGGGTGTTTTTGAGCCAGAGCCATTACACCGTGAGCCCCTGTGCTCAAGGTTTTGCTTGCACGTCAGGACGAGCAGCTGCTCGTCGCGGTTGAGGTTGGGCCGACGAAACAGCTGCCCTCAGGAACAATTCAGAGACAACGAAGTAGTAGCTTTCACCATGGGCAGCAATTTCACCCATATGCATATACTATATATAAATATATATCTATGTAACGTATGTATGTAATGTAATGTAATGTAATCTAATGTAATGTAATGTAATGTAATGTGATGTAATGTAATGTAATGTAATGTAATGTATGTAATGTATGTATGTAATGTATGTATGTAATGTATGTATGTAATGTAATGTAATCTAATGTAATGTAATGTAATGTAATGTAAGGTAAGGTAGTGTAATGTATGTATGTAATGTAATGTAATGTAATGTAATGTAATGTATGTATTGTATGTATGTATGTATGTATGTATGTACGTATGTAATGTATGTATGTAATGTATGTATGTAATGTATGTATGTAATGTAATGTAATCTAATGTAATGTAATGTAATGTAATGTAAGGTATGTAGTGTAATGTATGTATGTATGTATGTATGTATGTAATGTAATGTATGTATGTATGTATGTATGTATGTATGTATGTATGTATGTATGTATGTATGTATGTATGTATGTATGTATGTATGTATGTATGTATGTATGTATGTATGTATGTATGTATGTATGTATGTATGTATGTATGTATGTATGTATGTATGTATGTATGTATGTATGTATGTATGTATGTATGTATGTATGTATGTATGTATGTATGTATGTATGTATGTATGTATGTATGTATGTATGTATGTAATGTATGGATGTATGTATGTATGTATGTATGTAATGTATGTATGTATGTATGTATGTATGTATGTATGTATGTATGTATGTATGTATGTATGTATGTATGTATGTATGTATGTATGTATGTATGTATGTATGTATGTATGTATGTATGTATGTAAGTATGTAATGTAATGTAATGTAATGTAATGTAATGTAATGTAATGTAATGTAATGTAATGTAATGTAATGTAATGTAATGTAATGTAATGTAATGTAATGTAATGTAATGTAATGTAATGTAATGTATGTAGTATGTATGTATGTATGTAATGTATGTATGTATGTATGTATGTATGTATGTATGTATGTATGTATGTATGTATGTATGTATGTATGTATGTATGTATGTATGTATGTATGTATGTATGTTTGTATGTATGTATGTATGTATGTATGTATGTATGTATGTATGTATGTATGTATGTATGTATGTATGTATGTATGTATGTATGTATGTATGTATGTATGTATGTATGTAATGTATGTAATGTATGTATGTCGTATGTATGTATGTAATGTATGTAATGTATGTAATGTATGTATGTAATGTAATGTAATGTAATGTAATGTAATGTAATGTAATGTAATGTAATGTAACGTATGTACGTATGTATGTATGTATGTGATGTGATGTGATGTGATGTGATGTAATGTAATGTAATGTGATGTAATGTCGTGTAATGTCATGTAATGCAATGTAATGTAATGTAATGTAATGTATGTATGTATGTATGTAATGTATGTATGTATGTATGTATGTATGCATGTATGTATGTATGTATGTATGTATGTAATGTATGTATGTATGTATGTATGTATGTATGTATGTATGTATGTATGTATGTATGTATGTATGTATGTATGTATGTATGTATGTATGTATGTATGTATGTATGTATGTATGTATGTATGTATGTATGTAATGTATCTATGTATGTATGTATGTATGTATGTATGTATGTATGTATGTATGTATGTATGTATGTATGTATGTATGTATGTATGTATGTTATGTAATGTATGTATGTATGTATGTATGTATGTATGTATGCATGTAATGTATGTATGTAATGTATGTATGTAATGTAATGTATGTATGTATGTATGTATGTATGTATGTATGTAATGTATGTATGTATGTATGTATGTATGTATGTATGTATGTGTATGGTATGTATGGTACGTATGGTATGTATGTATGTATGTATGTATGTACTGTAATATAATGTGATGTAATTTAATGTAATGTAATGTATGTATGTATGTAGTGTAATGTAATGTAATGTAATGTACTGTACTGTATTGTTATGTATGTATGTATGTATGTATGTATGTAATGTATGTATGTATGTATGTATGCTATGTATGTATGTATGAATGTAATGTATGTATGTATGCATGTATGTATGTATGTAATGTATGTATGTATGTATGTATGTATGTATGTAATGTATGTATGTATGTATGTATGTATGTAGCGTATGTATGTATGTAATGTGATGTAATGTATTGTAATGTAATGTATGTATGTAATGTATGTATGTATGTATGTATGTATGTATGTATGCATGCATGTATGTATGTATGTATGTATGTATGTATGTATGTAATGTATGTATGTCTGTATGTATGTATGTTTGTATGTATGTATGTATGTATGTATGTATGTATGTATGTAATGTATGTAATGTATGTAATGTATTGTAATGCAATGTAATTAATGTAATGTAATGTATGTACCTATGTATGTATGTGTGTATGTATGTAATGTATGTAATGTAATGTAATGTGATGTAATGTAGTGTAATGTAGTGTATGTAATATGTATTTTTGTTTGCATGTATGTATGTAATGTAATGTAATGTAGTGTAATGTAATGTAATGTAATGTAAGATGTAATGTAAGATGTAATGTAAGTATGTAATGTATGTATGTATGTATGTATGTATGTATGTATGTATGTATGTATGTATGTATGTATGTATGTATGGAATGTATGTATGTATGTATGCATGTAATGTAATCTAATGTAATGTAATGTAATGTAATGTAATGTAATGTAATGTAATGTAATGTATGTAATGTATGTATGTAATGTAATGTAACCTAATGTAATGTAATGTAATGTAACCTAATGTAATGTAATGTAATGTAATGTAATGTAATGTAATGTATGTATGTAATGTATGTAATGTATGTATGTAATGTATGTATGTAATGTAATGTATGTATGTATGTATGTATGTATGTATGTATGTATGTATGTATGTATGTATGTATGTATTGTATGTATTGTAATGTAATGTGATGTGATGTAATGTAATGTAATGCAATTTAATGTAATGTATTGTAATGTAATGTATGTATGTATGTATGTATGTATGTATGTATGATATGATATGATATGATATGTATGTATGTATGAATCTATGTATGTATGTGTATGTGTGTATGTATGTATGTGTGTATGTAATGTATGTATGTATGTATGTATGTATGTATGTATGTATGTATGTATGTATGTATGTATGTATGTATGTATGTATGTATGTATGTATGTATGTATGTATGTATGTATGTATGTATGTATGTATATATGTATGCAATTAGTGTAATGTATGTATGTATGTATGTATGTATGTATGTATGCAATATGTAATGTAATGTGATGTAATGTAATATAATGTAATGTAATGTAAGTATGTACGTATGTATGTATGTATGTAATGTATCTATGTAATGTAATGTCATGTCATGTCCTGTCATGTCATGTCATGTAATGTAATGTAATGTATGTATGTATGTCTGTACGTACGTATGTATGTATGTATGTATTGTATGTATTGTAATGTAATGTGATGTGATGTAATGTAATGTAATGTAATTTAATGTAATGTATTGTAATGTAATGTATGTAATGTATGTATGTATGTATGTAATGTAATGTAATGTAATGTATTGTAATGTAATGTAATGTAGTGTAACGTAATGTAATGTAATGTATGGTATGTATGTATGTATGTTTGTATGTAATGTATGTATGTATGTATGTATGTATGTAGTGCAATGTAATGTAATGTAATGTAATGCGATGCAATGCAATGTAATGTAATGTAATGTAATGTATGTTTGTATGTAATGTAATGTAATGAAATGTAATGTAATGGAACGTATGTATGTTTGCATGTACGTACGTATGTATGTATGTATGGAATGTAATGTAATGTGATGTGATGTGATGTAATGTAATGTATGTATGTATGTATGTATGTATGTAATGTATGTATGTTATGTATGCATGTATGTATGTATGTATGTAATGTATGTATGTATGTAATGTAATGTAATGTAGTGTAATGTAATGTAATGTAATGTAAGATGTAATGTACGTATGTAATGTATGTATGTATATGTTTATGTATGTATGTTTGTTCGTAATGTATTTATGTATGTATGTACGTAACGTATGTATGTATGTATTTATGTAATGTATGTATGTATGTATGTATGTATGTATGTATGTATGTATGTATGTATGTATGTAATGTATGTATGTAATGTATGTAATGTAATGTTTTGTAATGTGATGTGATGTATGTAATGTATGTATGTAATTTATTGTAATGTAATGTAATGTAATGCAATGCAATGTAATGTAATGTGATGTAATGTAATGTAATGTAAGGTATGTATGTAATGTATGTATGTGATGTATGTATGTATGTATGTATGTATGTATGTATGTATGTATGTATGTATGTAATTTATGTAATGTAATGTAATGTATGTAATGTAATGTATGTATGTATTTATTGTAATGTAATGTAATGTAATGCAATGCAATGTAATGTAATGTGATGTAATGTAATGTAATGTAAGGTATGTATGTAATGTATGTATGTGATGTATGTATGTATGTATGTATGTATGTATGTATGTATGTATGTATGTAATGTATGTTATGTATGTTATGTATGTTATGTATGTTATGTATGTTATGTATGTTATGTATGTTATGTATGTTATGTATGTTATGTATGTATGTATGTATGTATGTATGTATGTATGTATGTATGTATGTAATGTATGTCATGTATGTCATGTATGTAATGTATGTAATGTATGTAATGTATGTATGTATGTATGTATGTATGTATGTATGTATGTATGTATGTATGTATGTATGTATGTATGTATGTATGT